AGTGCAACACCTGCCTTGGCTGGTGCCACTTTAGGGCATGCTCAGGTCTGCGTACCACGCGAGATTGGACTGGGAACTTCGAGGGCCCGTGTTGCGGTGCTCGGTCGCTGACATCAATTGCGACGCCCCCCACTACCACCACAGGGAGGCAATCACCTCAGCAGCACACACAGCCAACGGCGGCAAGAACATACACCTCACTCACACCCCACATCACAACACGTCTCCCGAACCACATGAAGCTCCTTCAATTTAACTGCAACGGGCTACAGAGCAAGATTGGGGTGATAACCGTCTTCATGTGTCGGCATGGTATATTAATAGCTGCGGTCCAAGAGACGAAGTTGCACAGCAATTCAACTTTGTTGAATTGCGCCGGGTACAACGTGCACCGTCGAGATCGCGAGCGAGATAATGGTGGTGGCTTAGCGTTCATCACGCACCACACCGTGCAGTATCGTCTTATCGAAGCAGACATCGACCACAGGGATACCACCCTAGAATGTCAGGGCATCGCTATCCGGTCAGGCGATGTCGAGCTCGAAATATTTAACATATACGTACCCCCTGTCACCTGCTGCCCGGCAGGATATCACCCTGATATAGGTGCGCTCCTCAGAGGTGAAAACCGTATGGTAGTAGGTGACTTTAATGCGCACCACGATCTTTGGCACTCAAGCCTGTCAAACGATCGTAGGGGAACAGACTTGGCTGAGCAGATAGACGATTCGACATTCTGCACAATGAACGACGACGCACCCACCAGGATTATGGGTAACTGCAGTAGCTCGCCAGACATCACAATAGTCAGCGCTGGTCTGATAAACAGCATAACGTGGCGACCTATGCTGACTCTAGCATCAGACCATCTACCCATAGTCATCTCGATTGATAAACCAACCGACTTTGCCTCCGCCAAACACCGGACCTATATCAACTTTTCTAAAGCTGATTGGAAAGGTTACGCGGAGTTTACCGAAAACACCTTCGCAGCGCTCCCCACACCAACCGACGTCCATCTCGGTGAACGTAAGTTATCACTGCTGCTGCAGCTCGCTTCATACCGGCAGGATGTATATCGGACCCACGTCCAAACTTCCCTGCCGAAGCGGCTGTTCTAGCCGATGAGCGTGATAGCCTTCGTCAGGCCGATCCCGGAGATCCCCGTATCAGGGATCTCAACGCGGAGATTCGGCAACTTGTAAATGTACATAAGCGGAAGAAGTGGGAGGAGCATCTGAAGACTTGTAATTTCACCTCTGGTGTGAGCAAGCTTTGGTCAACCGTGAGGTCATTGTCTAATCCGACGAAGCACGACGACAGAGTCGAAATTTCCTTCGGCGACCATGCCTCGTCGGACCCGGAGCGATGCGCGAGCTATTTTAGCCGGCAGTTCATACTGCATCCTCCGGTGGACAAAGCCAAGCGTCGAGTGACCAGAAGGCTGCACAAACTGCCAACAACCTGTGCCCCCCTTGCTTTCACTTGCGGTGAAGTTCAGGTGGCCATCGGGAAGGCGAAAGCCTCCAAAGCCATGGGTCCCGACGGAATATGCATGCTGATGCTGAAAAATTTGGGTCCTGCGGGGGTAGCGTACCTAACGGAGGTCCTCAATTTGTCAATGGCCACTCTCATCATCCCAGACATCTGGAAGGTGGGGAGAGTGGTCCCACTGCTCAAACCGGGGAAACCTGCCAACAAAGGAGATTCGTATCGTCCGATTACACTCCTTTCCCCGGTAGCGAAGACACTCGAGGCCTTGCTACTCCCGTACTTCACAAACCACCTGACCCCAGCGAAGCATAAGCATGGTTTCCGTAAAGTGCACAGTACAACAACAGCACTTAACGCCATAAACACTCAGATAACTCGTGGCCTTAACCATAACCGTCCCTGTGAGAGAACGATTCTAGTAGCGTTGGACTTGTCAAAGGCGTTTGACACCGTCTGCCATTCCACGCTACTAGAAGATATAGAGGCCTCCTCTCTCCCACAGAGGCTCAAACGGTGGTCGGCAAATTATCTGAGTGGTCGACATTCGTCGGTAATATTTAGAGACAAAACGAGTAAGCAGCGAAAAATAAAACAGGGGGTTCCTCAGGGTGGTGTCCTTTCCCCGCTACTGTTTAACTTTTACATTTTAAAGCTCCCTCAACCACCAGAGGGAGTCTCGATTGTCTCCTATGCCGACGATTGCTCGATCATGGCGACTGGGAATGGAATTGATGACCTGTGTTCGAAAGTAAACGGCTATCTCTCCGAACTTTCTCGCTTCTTCACTGCAAAGTGTCTAGCCCTCTCCCCTACGAAATCCTCCGCGACCCTGTTCACAACCTGGACGAAGGAGGTCAGGCTACCGCTGGGGATTCACGTCGATGACACAACAATTCCGATGGTGAATAACCCCAAAATACTCGGAGTAACATTCGACAGCCTGCTCTCCTTCTCTGCGCACTCAACCGCTATTGTCAATAAAGTACAGAGCCGCAACAAGGTCCTCAAGTCGCTAGCCGGCAGTACTTGGGGCAAAGACAAAGAAACGTCGCTGGCAACATACAAGGCAATAGGCCGGCCGGTTTTGAACTACGCAGCGCCAGTGTGGTCGCCAGGCACTAGTAGGACGCAGTGGACGAAGCTACAGACGGTACAAAATACGGCACTTAGGACAGCGACGGGATGCCTCTTGATGTCGCCTGAACATCACCTGCACGGCGAGGCGCAAATGCTCCCGGTAAAGGAGCATAATATAATGCTCTGCAAGCAGTTCCTGATCGGGAGCCACAGAAGTGGCCACCCAAGCAGCTGGTTCATTAAGCAACCTCTGGACCCGACAGCTTACAGACAGACCCTGAACGGCATTCACAGGGACTCAGTCTCGAGTTATGTAGACTCTAGACCTGTGAATGCCGTTCTAGGCATACCACCCCCGGACATAGACGAGACGGAGCTTCTTCTGCCTCGGGAGACACGCACTACACTCGCACAACTTCGCTCGGGCTACTGCAGCAGGTTGAACTCCTACTTGAGTAGGTTGAATGAGGATGTGCCGAATGAGTGTCCGGCATGCGGAGAGACCCCACATGACTCGAAACATCTCTTCGCATGCCCGGAAAACCCGACAACCCTAACGGCCTTGTCCCTGTGGACAAACCCCACAGAAGCTGCACGCTTCCTAGGGTTGCCGTTAGTGGAACTTGACGACAACGACTGAGATACCAACCGATCTGGGCGGGGTTGTTGTAGCCGCTACAACAACAACAACAACAACAGTAACACAAATACAAACCCTACAGCAACCAATCACCGGGCACTTCATTTTAATTAAATTTACACAAAAAAATTAATTGAAAATCGCTTCAAAGTCACTGAGATAAACCACCGCCAAGATACACATAAAGAAAGAAGCAAAACAGAAATAGCAAACTTCAAAATTACGAACGTCACATACTTTTTTTCTCAATTGCTATTACAAATGGCTGCTTCTCAACCGATCAGATAATGCAAAAGAATGAGACAAAAGAATATAGGATATAACCCAGTAAGCATTAAAAATATACAAAGGTGTTCTCTGCAAAAGGTGTTCAGCTCCTTTTCTTCACAAAACAGAAAGGAGAATTCTACTGCCCGAGGGTTATAATCCCTAAATGCGGCCGAAGGCCGCCTACGCATAAACGTGTTCTCTGCAAAAGGTGTTCAGCCCCCTTTTTTGGCAACACAGAAAGGAGAATTATACTGCCCGAGGGTTATAATCCCGAAGTGCGGCAGAAGGCCGCCTACTCAGGAAGGTGTTCTCTGCAAAAAGTGTTCAGCCCCCTTTTTTGGCAACACAGAATAATCCATAAGTGCGGCCGAATGGCCCCTACGTAGAAAGGAATTCTACGCAAAAATACATTTGTTAAAAATAAATTTTTTTTTTTAAGACTTGTTTTTTCTATTTTTAATTAACTTTTTTATTTTTTATTCAAAATCGCCCGATATCTAATTTAACATAATTTCTTTTATTAAAAATCCCACGGTTCCTGTTAGTAGGGTCATATTCCACTTCAAACTGCTCAGTTTGCCTAAGAAAATTCCGTTTTTCCCCCTTTTTCAAACGGTTCCCTAGAGGCCTGTGGGAGGAGCCCAAGGGGGGCGTACGCCTATTTAGAAAGCAGGGAATGTCCTTTTTCTAGTGGGCGGGGTTAGGGGGCCCCGCCCTCTTCCCCTTCGCCCTCACCCCAAAAACGATGGGAGCACTACTAAACATTTCCCACGGTAAGTTGCAAATATCTCGAAAACGTATTCATAGAAAAAGATTAGCTCGATTTTCGAAATCACCGAGCAATTTTACATAGGAATTGGACAGTGGCGTCCATAGAACATTTTTGCTGTGAACCAGTGGAATCAAAGTACCAGCGGAGGTTAGAACGTTGGGTTCAAAAAGTATTTTTGATGTTAAAATTGTACTTAAATTCGGTAAATTGTACTGAAACAAATAATTTTTAGCAAAAAAAAACCGACTTAAAATATATATATATATATCTATGCTTCAATGATCGGATCTAACCCAAATTAGTATCGGACCACTTCTGAGACACTACCTTTTAGTTGCAAAATGAATTATCGAAATCGGTTGACGTGGTCCAAAGTTATGCGGTAACATATAAAAAAAAAATTAAATAAAATAAAAAATAAATAAAAATAAAAAAATATTCCGAGAAACTGATGACCTACTTTTTTGGAAGTCGGTTAAAGAGTATAATTGTACTTAAAATATCAACACTGAAAAAACCGATTTAACCAAAGTTCATCACTTTATCAAACGATTTTGGTGGATAAATGCTTACATCTCTCCAACAGACAGGTGGTCGCTTTTGCTTCCAAAACATAAAAAGCAAATGAGCCCAACGGACGAGGTAAGAATGTAAGGTAACTAGCCATACAAGTCAAATAATAAAAAATTGTATGCTATTATATACCAAGGTACGTTCATGAAAGAATGCGGATAAATTAAAGCAATTTATCCCTTTATCACTTTACATGAAGACCCCTACTATAAGAGGGCGCGGGGTGGGGTCTTCACCTTCAGAATCAAAAGGGGCCCCTCTACACCCAATTTTTATTTTTTTTGCTGGTGTCGATTTGAACTAAAAGTTAAAAAAAAGACGTAACAAACTTTATGGTAAAAATCCTTTTTTGAATAAACAATTTTAATTTACAAGCTTTACTCTGAACTTACAAAATGGTCAGCATCAAAGCTAGAATATATATGTCCTTCCGATATTAAAAACTCAATTATGGCGCTGAAATCAACAAAACATGTTAAAATATAATAATTGACTTTCGACAAAAACTTACTTAATCTCATTGGCACTAATATGATTAAATTTAAGTTGTAGCTCTTTTCGACCGATACCCTCCGTAGTCATATTATTTTTAACAGCTTGAAGCACAGCCAATTGCTTGCCTTCTAGACCGAGATAACTACTTCCATCGCCATCACTCGGGTTGAAACCAATTGCTCCAATATTTATACTTATCATTTGATCACTGCATTTAGCAAATTCTTCTGATTTTAGTCGAGCATTAAGCACCTCTAATATATGAGTACAAATTTCGTTCGAGTTCATTACGGCAATCATCTTAAAGATCATTAACATTTTCTGATGACCCTGAGTACGAACACTTCCGTAAAGTCTGACATAATTGTTAAGCATAACATCTGGACACTTCAGGGAGTCGCCTTCTTCCAACCAATAATGTGCCTCAATTTGTCCAGAGTGGTCCTCCAATGTATACGTGATTTTAGTAGACGATATATCAATTGAACGAACCATAGCTACAGAAGTAATCATTCCAAATGCCATATCAAACATTTTAAAATTTCCTTCTTGTGATAGCAGAATTTGTTTAATAAAAACTGGAGCAATACCCTTGAAGAAAATGTCAGTTTAAATCAATCATGTATGTATGTACACATGATAAAAACATTACGTTAAAACATTTTTATCATGTATGTACCTATGTGGTTTTCTTCACCTCTGCCGATGATCCTCCCTGGCTGACATTCTGCGCTGAAGCTGAAGTTCCACTCACTATGATTTTGTTTATATATATATAATGAAAATTTAAAACAAATCAATCACCTACCAGATATGTCCATCATCAAGTTAAATCAAAATAAAAGCCGCGCGCAATCTTACGGGGAATCGATATTGATAGGAATTGCAGCGATTAATCATTTTGTTAAATTAATCGATTACACATTGGATACACGTTGCCCCTATTAGGCAGTGGTTACGCCACCAATTTCGAATGGCAATCACCGTGCAATTGCTGTTGTGCACAGTAGGGAGTGAGAGAAAATTCGAGAACGAACAGCCACATGATTGGGAAAATTTTCTTTAAATTCGGTCCAAATTTGAAAAAAGAAAAAAAAAGAGGGGGAAATCTTTAGCTATTTGTACAACGATTTCGGGGGGGGTGAGAGGGGGGCGAGGGGGGAGGGGGCGTCGCTCCCCCAACCCCTCCTCCCCTAAAGACCCCTTGGGAGCTGTTTGAAAACAGCGGAAATTTGGATTTTTTCCAAAACGATTATAACACTCAGTACTTCTTTCTCTGTTGCCCAAAAAGAGGGGCTGAACACCTTTTGTAGAGAGCACCATTCTGCGTAGGCGGCCTTCGGCCGCACCTAGGGATTATTAAGTAGAATTCTCCTTTCTGTGTTGCCGAAAAAATTGACTGAACAACTTTTGCAGAAAGCGTAGCGCTTAGGGATTATAACCCCCACTAAGTAGAACTCTCCTTTCTGTGTTGCTAAAGAAGTGGCGCTGAATGCATTTTGCAGAGATGTTTCGTGGATATTTTTTTTTTGACAGCTCACCTCGGAAACTTTCAAAAATATCATATTTCCAACCCAAATTATTACTTAATTAGTGCACAGATATAGTAAATATTAATTTTGTAATAAAGCGTGAACTGTTGTCTACAAGTGTGTGTAAAAGGTTTTTGATTCGATTCACGCGTTTGGGCACAGCAACCCAAAATCGTTGTACAAATTCATAAAGAGTACCCAAATATAGAGGAGCTTTTTACGACTCTAAAAGTGAACAACCCAGAGCGCGAAGGCTTTTATTTAAAAAAGTTATTAACTTTTAAAGTTCCACAATTCACCATAAAAATTTCATTGATCACATGGAAGTGGTGGAAATGAACACAGACATTGGTGCTGCCAGGTGATGAGAGTAGTAAAAAAGTGGGGGGTTTTATATTCACCTTATATTGAAATACTGTTCTATATAAAAAAAAGCGACGCAGGCGAAGCGTTGATTTTAATAAAAATTTTCATGATTTATCGAATTATACATTTTTTAAAAAGCGCTGCAGGCGAAAATTTATCATTATTTATTTATCGACGTACTGTTTTTTTTTGAAAAAAGTGCCGCATATAATAAAAAATTGCGCGATTTTTTATCAAAAATTTTCATTATTTATCGATGACTTGATTTGTTTGAAAAAAGCGCCGCAGGTGAATCCGCACTTATGGATTATAACCCTCACTAATGGCCGTTTGCACCATGTCTAGTTAACGCTAACTGGAGGTACATCCTTCAGTTAGGCACGTTAACTGCTTTATCGATCACATGTTATATGATGGGTGTCGATAACGTCGATAAAGATGTTTAACTGGGAGTTAGAATTAACTAGACATGGTGCCAACGGCCCTAAGTGTTGGGTCATGGTTGGGAGCACCTGCACCAGCTGTATTTATATTTGCCTTCTATTTACTTACTTGTTAGCTAATTACCTAACCTAATTATCAAGGTCAGCCACGCAAAGTCATTCACTTTATTATTGCATTAAGTCATACCGCTAAATGTTCTTAGATATGTAAATTATTTGCATCCATCTCTTTTAATCACTCTTCTCAGTTATATAGTCCAGCGAACATACACACTCACTCGTATCAAGAATGATAGAATACAAGATTGCGCCAATCGAGCTGAGAGCAACTGGCCGTGACGTCAAAAAATACCAGAATGAGAGAGCAAAGACGAATGCAATAAGAAAAAGAAGAAGAATCGAACAGCTGGGGCGAAATTGAAAGGTTTGTTTAGACTGCTTTTACACAGTTCAAGTATTGAATTCAATTCTGCTCGCATATGGAAGAGAGGTGGTGAGAAGAAAAGGGACGAGTACACATGCGTCTGTACCGTCAAGTCGTTTCAACTTTCTTGCTTTGCTTTTGGCATTTTCGTTGCTTCCCATTTAAAGAACCAAAAACTTGAATTCAAAAGAATTGAAACGTGTAAAAGCAAATAGAAAACACAAAAGAGAATGAGCAAGAATTGCTTTCAAGTACTTGAATCATGTAAATCGGGTGTTATAAAAGTGCATTATAAATCGCGGATTTACGGAATTATTTAATTTTAAATGGTAAATTGGTTGTTTAAAAGTAAAGAATGTGTACTTCTTAAATGCAATGCAAATCGCAGAAAGTGTTAAAACACTGCAATCATTATAATGATTTGCATTTTTTCAGTAATTGAACAAATACCAGCGGGCCGCCAGCGGGTCAGTTGCTGGTAACAATTTGCAGAACGATTCCACGGTGATCGTTGCATCGCCGTCAATTAGTGAAATCAGTAAGTAAGCTTTTAAAATAAAGGAATACCTCCTACTCCGCTATACATATAATTACTTTCATTATTTAGCTACTTTTCCGGCAGCCGCAACAAACGCTGGCCCAAGCCTGCAAATTGTTGCCAGCAACTGACCCGCTAGCTGCCCGCTGGCATTTGTTCAACTACTCAAAAGTGCCCTTTGTAAACAAACCTTTTGGGTGTTGGCCACATCAAGCGGCTCATCTGGATGAAATGAAAAAGCTGTTAGATGTAATGCAGCAACGTGCTCCCTATGTTGAACATCAGTTCAAAGAAAAGTCAAATGAGTTGGAAATGGCGCGGCTTATCATACGCCAGTTGTCGGATAAGGCCAATGTAAACCAAGGCCGCAATCGGATAGAGACCTCGACGCAGACGCAATTTATGTACGAGCAACAGATTAGAGACTTACAAGTAAGTTAGAAGTAGAAGTGCATTTGAAGACGTTTACATTATTATGTTTACGCATTTCTTACAGGCTATGGTGCAACAATTGACGTATGAAAGGAATTTATGATGGTCACAAATATATTGGCAAAAACATAGCAAGTGCATATGCCAAGTTGGAAAAATTGACAATGCGTGAGTATAAAATGAATAGGTGTTCTTAAATATAAATATTACTTATATTACTTTACCTCTTCTTTTGCAGTGGCTAAAAAGAAGAGTCTTTTTGATGATCGACCGCAATAGATTCAAGAATTGACTTACATCATGGTGTATGCGTTACAATCTAAATTAGCCAGCATGGGCACCGACTTCAAACAGATACTAGAAGTGCGTATAAAAAATCTCAAACAACAAAAAGCGCGTCGGGATCAATTCGGGCAGTCACCAATTGCTGCTAGCACTGTTCGCTCGAGTACAGCGAAACAGGGCTCCTTGCTGTTAAGCGAAGAGAATACGGCCGTAAGCATTGACATGGCCGCAAGTGATACAACACCATTGCTGGGTGCAGTCGGAGGTAGTGGAATACAGACGCAGCAGCAGATTGCATTATATGATGACTCCGATAGTTACGTGCAACAGCGGGCTGAGACTTTGCAGAACATTGAATCGACTATTGTCGAGCTTTACACAATCAGCACATATGGTTAAGGAACAAGAGGAGACTATAGAGAGGAGACATACAAGATGCCGAATTGAACATAGAAGCGGCGCATGGTGAAATATGAAGTACTTCCAAACTGATGATAAAAATCTTCGCAGTACTGATCATGATAAAAACATAACAAGGTAAAACCATTGAGAGGCAGTCTGACGTTTGCCAACAATATAATTTTAAAATCAAAACTCAAACTCACACACACATTCTCATTTTCAATCTCAAACAACAACAATTGTGAACAATTTAATTTTTTATTTTCAATTTTATATGATTTTAAAATGTTGGCAAACGTCAGAAAAAAATCATGGCCGACGAATTGAGAGAATGAATTTACCTTGTAATGTTTTTATCATGGTACTGATATTCTTTTTCATATTCTTCGTAGTTTTCCTTATATAATAACGAATATGTTTGTGACACGGCAAGATTTTAACAAGTTCAGATGCGCGGTCTTAAAGTTGTGGGTTTTTAAATACATAAATATATAATATCCTATTCATATACATACATATAAAAAACACTAATGTAATAATGAAATTAAGTCGTATATGCCACGTGAAACACGATAGCTTTTAGAAGCAGTCACGTAGGGTTAGACACTAATTCTGCCAATAATAAAATTAATTCACTTAGTTTCACTTTTTTTCAAAATTTTCTATAAAAGTAGAGATGATCCTGTGTAATAAAACGAGAACCGATTTATGTAATCATAAATATATAAAAAAAAATTAAAACTAAATAAAATAGAAATTGTTATTGGCAATAAGTACATGTGCTTGTTTATTAATAATTCAAATATTATTGTTCATGAAAGTTTATTTTAATAAAAACGTAGATCGTACAAATGACATGGCAGAAAAATTAGCTGTATGCCAATGGAAAATTCTCGTACCCCTTTTATACAAGCATAACGGTAGAATTTGACAAGTACATAAAGTACAATACATACAAAGGAATGATACATATAAAGAACATAAATACATGAAATTAAAGCGTGAAGTGTGTGGTGAAATTTTGTATTTGCCTCCCATCTGTTTCGCCGTGCTGCCGGATCTGCAATAGTTAGGGTGTTAATTGCGACATCCCACCGACCGGTGGATCCTCTGTGGATTCACGATACTTTAAAGCGGCTAGCTTGCTGACTGGACGCCGAATAACTCCATGAGATGTCTGTATTGCTGCGCTTCGAATTCGGCTATCTCTTCCAGGGAACACTTCCACCACCCTTCCCATCTCCCAGCGGCTTCTAGGCAATGCGGGGTCACATACTATTACGAGCTGGTCCAGCTGGAGGGGATAGGTTTCCTCGGTCCATTTGGGACGACACAGCAGCTGTGGCAAGTACTCCACCATTCATCGCTTCCAAATCCGGTCTTTGAGATTTTGGGCAATCTTCCATTGTTTTCGTGGACAGAAGTGCCTCTCATCCAAGCTGGGTGTTTGCGTTGAGTTCGTACATCCAATTAAAAAGTGGTTTGGAGTG